ATGCTGCCTTTCATTTTCAAATTCATTTTTCTTCATATTCAGATCACCTTAGCTGGTAAGAAAGCCTTTGATCCATATTTTATCGGTATTACTCACATGAACACTCCTTTATATTATATAGAGAGTATAAGCTACACATATCTCCTGACCTCACAATGCCCCTTGTCCTTGCCTGCTGGTCATGAAATTATATTTAAAATGTACATCTGTTTCTTCCTGAATACCAAAGATTAAATAGCAACATGAAACCTCCTTGATTTTCTCTTTTCATGTTGGAAATAGAGGTTTTCCTTTAATCAGCTAGCAAAACGAAAACAAAAACAAGCCATGACAGGAAATAAACAGTATATAAGTGACTAAATGACTTCCTATTGGGGAGGTGTTTGACTGGGTGAGAGTGCACATAATCAAAATCATCAATTGTATCCAAGCGTGACACTGGCATAAAACACTACCAAATGAAGACATCCTGTTATTCCTGTATAAAAGGTAACTATTTGGGAAAAGCTAACATGTTAAGCTCATATAACTGTCAGTGTGAGAAAATTTGTCATAATTTTTTAGCAGTCAGCTGGAGGAAAGGAGACTGAGAGAGAGAACAGGAACTTGCCTGGCCTCTTATTCTCTCTTCATACATAGCTTTCTTTCTTTTACGCCCTTGTTCCTGAGCTCTCCTCTGACTAGAATGATGCTTCTGTGATTAACTATTAATCCTATTTATCGTATATGTCTTGGTCTAGTAATTACTTTCTCCCAGCTGGGTTGGGTGCCTTTCCTTAGTTCTCATAATGACCTCTGCCTATAGAAATTACTGCTTTTACCACTTGAGTTTATAATAATCTCTTTATGTTCCTCCCTTCTCTTTGGAAACAATGACTGGTTCATAATCATCTTTGTATATCCTGATGTCCAGCATAATGCTTGGAATATATTAGATATTTTTAAAAAGCTTATTAAATAGATGAACAAGAAATCAGAAATTTTATCAGAAATTATAGCTGATAACATAAAGATTGCTGCCTAATAAGTTTTGTCCCCAAAACAATCAAGATATTTAAGATAGAAAAATACATTTTCTTTTACTATCTTTTAAGTTCAATTGAGAATAGGAACTTGAAAACCAATAGGGAAGATTTTCTGTAGATTTGCAATATATTAGATCTCTATTGGCATTGCTAGAGTTACTTCTCTAGGTAATTTTCTCCTGATTTCTATATTCATTTTGGATCTTAATGCTCTTACTTTGGCTTCTTCTGCAGAAAAATGAATATATAACTGGTGTATATTAATTTTATTCTGATTAGCAGTTACTTTTCACATAATTACATGGTTTTTACACTACAAAATAATCTATGAATTTGGGTTTATTATCCATAGCTTGTAGGGTTTAATCACTCTGAAAAAATTGGCCAATTTCCAGATCTGGCAAACTGAGTGATGTGATCAGTACCAAGATCCCCTTCAGCCTTAAAATTTCTGAATTTATATTTTTAATTGAAAAATAAAAATAAAAATTCAAAGTTGTATTAATTTGGTATTACTCAAAATGCATGGGGACTGTAGAGACACTGTTATAACAAATTCTAACTTTACATTCTTCATGAAAATCTAGAGGGTAAAGAAAATTGTCCATATATTTTTTTGAATTATAGCTTCTTAGGGAAACACAGAAAATGTGACAGGAGCATGAAAAAACATAGAACTGAGACAAAATAGTAGGTTTACTCCAAGTTTGCAACTTGTTATATTTAATGCTTTGGTATAAATCCTGTTTATTACAAAGAACAACTACCAAATAAATCATTGTGTGGAAAAGAATTGATCTGGGAATCAATTATCTGGGAAAGAAAACCACAAAGAAGTGATTGTTAAGACATTTGTTCTTCAGATATGTAACTGTTTAATCTGAAATAAACTTTAGGATGGAAGCCTATTAGGAAAGTTGCTTGCTTAATTTTGCTATTCTACACTCTGATACTGATTGTTCAAGATTACTGCTCAGACATGCTGTAATGAGAATTGTAGATAATTTATTATGTATACTTACATATGCTAGACATTAAAGGATATATGTGTCTAGTAATAGCAGATGCATACTTCTGCCAACTAAAGAAATGGTTACAACTTTTAATAAATATGGGTAAGGGAATGATGTTAAGATTACGTGTGTGTGTGTGTGTGGTGTGTGCGTGTGTGTGTGCCCATAGCCATACTTGTTCTGGATTTCAAAAGAGTATACAGAATTATCATTATCTCATACCACTTGCATTGAGATATTCAGTTTTTTCTTCAAGAAGTGAATTTAACTCTTAGAATATTATTGTGGTAGGACTCTCCAGTTTCTTGATACAACATCTATTCATCCCTTTCTCTTTAGAAACAAACTGGAATTTTTATATTGCTTCCCATAATAAAAAACATATTGCCTTCCAGATTTTGCAGCTAAATTTGGCTATGGGACTAACTTTTGGCCTTGAGCTGTTTAAGAGAGATACTTGTGAGAGTTCTTTGAAGATTGGTCAAAGGAAACTAACTCAGATGGATTGTCCCTTTGCTCTCCTGCCTTTCCTCTTAGCTTTTAGCCTGAAAATCAGTGGTGACGGCTGGAGAGCCAATAGTCATCTTGGAACATGACATGATTCTGAAGGTGGGAAGCAAGGCTGGAATGGTACAGAATAAACATAGGAACTTGGGTCCTTGAGAAAATTGTGGAGTCACCATATCTGCCTATAATTCCTACTTTCAGACTTTTTTCTATGTGTGAGAGATCTATCTTACTTAAGTCACTGCTATTTTTGTTGCTAATACTGTTGTTGTTAAGTGAGCATTCTAGTTGAGCCCAAGCTAGGATTCAGAGTCTGGTTATATTTGATGAGTCCCTGGATCAGCATCCCTCAATGCCAACTATTAAGTGTAATAGGCTAATGATGAATGGAAATCTATTTCACGTAACAAAGAACAACTCGTTATGTCCAAATATGATGAGGTCATATTGCTCTTATTTCTCTCTAATCTGAGATTTGGGTCGATGTTCTGTATGAGAAATTGGAAACCTATGTTACAGTGTTCTGTTTTTGTGTTAGGATGGTCGTTGTAAATCTACCTAATAGTAAAAATAAAATATTGCTTGGAATTGTGAAGTAAGTGAATTCTCCATTGTGCAGAAACAAGAACAGCATTATATTTTATATGTAATACTCTTAAACAGTCAATTCATTTATTCAATTAATATATTTGAGCTACTATGGGTTACATAAGTTATGGGTGGGCTTTGATAATTAGTCAACTCATGTCCAATATCACAGGGGCCACTTGTGAATTTAGAGAAAATGGAAGAAAAGAAAAATGGAAGCAAATGATGAAAAGTCTAAATATTTTCCTCAAATAATTGTCTTTCTAAAAAATTTCTCATGTTTAAAGACTGGAATTTAAGCCGCATTTTTCTAGATGGCACCAGCCTTTTGGTACATATATTAATGTCAAAGATGACTGCTCAAATTACAAGGGTTCACAGCTGTCTCTACAAAATTTCTTAAGTATTCTTGCCACAAAGTCTCCCCCTCTTTTCTGGGAGACCTGGGGGAAGGGTCTCATATGTCCTTATGGCCAGTAAGCTCACATTATTCACTTACTAGCCACGCTGGTGCTTACAAGATTCTTCATGCAGGAGCGCTACCATTCTGTTTCATGTCAGGATCTTCTAGTAGAACTCTGCTGTCCCTTAACAAGGCTGTATATGTGTTCTTTCTAGGTTACAATTTCCCACACTGCTAAATGATGCTGCATTCACTTTAAAGTACACACTACTGGGGATTGACTTGTTCTAACGAAATGAGGTGACTATTTCTCTAGCCAGCTCTATCAGCTTGAAGTATTACTGCTTATGTCCTGAGTATCATAAAGTCTCTTATGGAAACATTTCTTTGTGTTCTTATTTACAGTCCTGAAGCAAGCATCTTTCACTGCATTTTATCTCTTGTGTCTCTATTGGAGGCACCCAGGGCATGAAGTTTCATCCCAGTAGTTATTTATTCTGCCGTGCAGTTTTACTTTTTCTAATAATTGGCAGAAAGGACTTCTATTGCTCCATCAGTTTGTCAGACAAAATCAAACTTTAAATCCCAGTTTGAACTACACTGGGACCCATGCTACACCAGAACTTAACTTGGATTCCTGATTGCTTGATAAAATAGCTAGTTGAGAATAAAGCTGTAATTTCTTGACAACAAACATACACACACACTCACCGATATTCATACATATGTACATACAGCAGTCCCTTCATCCATAGGATACGCCCAAACCCACAGTACATGCCTGAAATCTCAGAAAATACTGAACAATATATATATATATATACTATGAGTTTTCTAATACATAGGTACCTATGGTAAGTTTAATTTATGAATTAGTCATGGTAAGACATAATAATTATTAATAAACTAATAATATACTGTAACAAAAGTTACATCAATGTGGTATTTTTTTCTCTCTCTCAAGATATCTTATTGTACTATACTCACCTATTTTCAAACCCTGGTTAACCACAGTTAACTAGAATCAAGGAAAGTGAGATTGAAAATAAGTGGTGGTGGGGGGCTACGATATCTCACATACATATATTTCAAGATATGCAAAACCACACATCTCAAAACTTGTAATTTGTATCAACATGATAGGCTTGATGCCATAGGCAATGCCATTTTCTCATTAAGTCATCTCTTTTGTTGTAAAACACCATTTAAAAGGAATCACACATGCTAAAACATGTATTTTGGGTATTTTACATTTATCCAGATAGGAATATAAGTAATGTACTTGGTTACAATGTTCCCTTAGCCACTGTTTTGCTACATGCTTCTACATATTGATTCTTTAACACATTTTTTTTTTTTACAGTCTCCCCGTAGTAAATGTAGCTACTATGACTATGAGTGAAAGAGATATGGATGGGTGGAAGAGATATGGAGACGCCAGTAGTTTTGTAGATAAACGCAATGTGAAAACAAAGAACTACTCTTTAATTACTGATACAGAAATAATGACAAGGAAACAAAATTACTTCCTGAATCACACTTTAACAGCTGACTGGTTCGAAAGAGCACAGTTTTTTTTTTCTGTTTTCGTCAAATTAAAATCTTAACCATGTAAATTCAAGGCTGTAAAGGACAACTCAGGATCCTTCATAGTAATAATTACAGTATTAAAATGCTTATTTGCTAGAAAAAATGCAAAATCTCAGAACATCTGAGATGCCCAAGCTGTAAAGTGTAATAAAAGCTGTCAACTGTAGTGGAAAGAAAGTTACAAAATATGAAGTTCCGAGTGATTCTTGGTAGCATGAGTTGTGGGATTTGAAGTAAACTGAAAGAAATGGAAGGCATTTGTTTAATATACGATCTTGTTGAAAGACGAGTCCCAGCACAGTAGCTTTTTCCTTTAAAGATTAGCCAGATGTGGGCCTTTTTAAGATCACAAAGAATGGAGCCACGGAAAGAGATTAACAATGCTGGCAGAGAATGGCAGGTACAGTAAGGTTGTTTTTAAATGGATAGAAATCTATATAAAGGTGACTCGACAAAACACAGAAGCTGTTTCCTCCTCAATCATTTAGGCAGAAGCTCATACTAAGTAAAAAGATGCAAGGTATTTAGCGGCAATTCCCATTACCTGGTACTTTTATTGCTCTGGCATGATTAGCAGAAACTATTTGGCCAGCGTTGTCAACTATTTGCTTTGTCGTCAGCCTGATGTTTGGTCTGCAATCCCTCTAAAACTAACAGCAAAGGAAAAACACTCAGAAACTTAGGCAGTTCTAGTTGGCAGTGAGGTGTCACCCTTAGCCTACTCTCTGTGAGGTTTATTCTGCATTTTAGAAGCTCGGTGGCTGTTGCTCTTTTTTGATAGCCAACAAAAAGCAACGTCATAGACCTGTTTGGCTGCTGTCCTGGGTCGAAGGGTTTGGCAGCCCTAGGGAGATGAATTTCTCCAGGGTTGGACCCGCCCAGAGCAGAGAAGCAACACCCTTCCAGCCACTACTCTGTTGCTATGAAACAAAAGACTAGGAAGGTAAGCGAAGCAGGAAGTCCCGCCTTCCAGCCCCAGACGGCTTTGGCTCCCGCTCCCGACGCTCACGCCCACCTGCCACCCCTCATTGGTTAGCTCCCTCGTGCCTTGCATCCCTTCTTCCATTTTCTTTCCCGTTTCCACTTTCGTTCCCAGGCGAGTCCAGGCCCCTCACTTCTCTCCGAGTCCAATTCCTTTCCGACTTGCTGCGCACCGGCCTTCCTCCGGGGCCATTGTGTACTGTGGAGGACGTGGACGGGGCGGCAGCGCGAGGAGGACGGGCGCCTCCCGCCCATTGGCTGCACGCGCTGTCGGGCAGCGCGCGGGTGCGCGGCATTGGCCCAGCGGCGCGCGGCCCCGCCCCCGCCCCGCCCCGAGCCTGGGTCCTGTGTGTGCCACAGGGGTGGGGTGTCCAGCGAGCGGTCTCCTCCTCCTGCTAGAGCTGCTGCGGCGTCCCGCGGCCTCCCCGAGTCGGGCGGGAGGGGACAGCGGGTGTGGATTTGTCTTGACGGTAATTGTGTTTCCACGTCTCGGTGGCCTGCGCGCTGGGTCGCTCCTTCTTCGGGCGCGAGCTGTTTCAGCGATCACGCTGCCCGCCGGGGCTCCGCGCGCGCCCTGGGCTGCGTGCGTGTGGAGTGGGACCCGCGCACACGCGTGTCTCTGGACAGCGACGGCGCCGACAGGCAAGGAGGGAAAGGGTCGCCGGGGAGGCGCCACACTTCTTGCCCGCTCGGGGGCCGGAGGGCCGCTGAGCGCGGGCCGCGGTGAAGAGCGGGCAGCCCAGGCTCTCAGCTGCCGGGGCGCCGCCGTCCAGTTTGAAGTGGGGCATTTAAAGATCGGACCCGCAGGCCGGGGAGGAGGGAGGCGGCGGCGCGGATTGTAGCGGGCGGCCGGCGGGGAGGCGCGTCCACCCCGGCGCCCAGCGCTCAGCGCCCGAGACGGACGGGGCTGCGGGCGCGGGAGGGACGCTCGGTCCCCTCCCCGTCCACCTTCCTCCCGCAGCTCACAGCCCAGGGGCCGTGGAGGGGCCTGAGCAGGGAAGGGACACAGGCGTCCCGAGACGAAGCTCTGGGTGAGAGCAGAGGCGAGGGGCGGCAGAAGTGAACTCCTCCTTGTCAGTTTCTGTCTCTTTTAAATGGGCTATTTGTGTGTTCTTTCATTTGGTTCTTGGGAATAACGACTCACCGCGTTGATTTAAAGAAATGTGTTCGTGTGTCCGTCCTGGGCGATTTTAGCGTGGGAAATCCAAGTCCTGCGCCTTTGTTGACAACAGAGTTGTCCCTTACGTTTGTGTAGAATTGTCGAATAATTTTTATGTTTATGTAACTTGGAGAAATCGAACTGAAAGTGAAGTTTCTGCGTGACGCTCCCAAAATGTATGATAGGAACTTCAGTTGTTCTAGTAGTTTGAACTGGAATTAAGGCTGGAGGGGAAGAACATTCTGTTCTTATCTAGGTGGAGGAAACCTGTTTAAGTTTTGTTTGGTGTTTATGAGTTGGGTATTAGTTCAGCCTTAGCTACTTGAAACGTGAGTAGGATGCACCTTTAACTTTTAGTGTTGTAAAAGCAAATCTAGGATCATTGCTCCTAAAACTACTGTGTGTAAAGATTGAGAGTGTAAATTGACGAGCTTATTGATAAAGTTGAATCTGGAACTTTTGGTTTTGCTCTCATTGATAGAGGAAGATGCAGTGGGTACAAGTTAGTCTCTTTAGTTTTCTGGTGGGTAAATATTTTCAAAGCCAACTAACTTTTCTTTTTTTAAATCTGCCTTTCAAAGAACTAAAATTCCAGATGGCAAACTCAATGAATGGCAGAAACCCTGGTGGTCGAGGAGGAAACCCCCGAAAAGGTCGAATTTTGGGTATTATTGATGCTATTCAGGATGCAGTTGGACCCCCTAAGCAAGCTGCGGCAGATCGCAGGACCGTGGAGAAGACTTGGAAACTCATGGACAAAGTGGTAAGTTCTGTCTGACGTTTCCTGTGCCAAACACTATTCACTTTGTCTGTGGTTTCTCTAGATTTATTTATGCTGTTAATTAATAAAAACCATTATTATGGCAACAATCTTTGGATTTCTATTCATTTTTTTTACTTCAATTCTGTGTTTTTTGAAAAGTTAGATTCAAAGACTTTTTTTTTTTTAACCTTTTGTCCTTTCTACTCTTTAAGGTTCAGAGTTCCTCTATTTGACTCAATATGCAAAGTTTTACCATTGGCTGCTTTTTGTTGGTGTATGGCCATAGACTGTTTGGAAGTGTTTGTTCTGCCTTATGTGAGGTTGTGTTGCTCTTAGATAACAAAAGAGTACAAGCAGTTTATTTGCCTTTGATGGACCACTCATGACAATCATCTGGTATGATACTGAAAGCATTTACTGGGGAAAGAAACAGATTAGTTCTTAAGTAAAGAAGCAGTGTTTCAGGGAGTTTCCATTTTCATCTTTGAGAATTCATCTTCATTAAGAAACGTTTTTGTTGTTAATGGGAGAGTTAACAGTTTCTTTCATCTACTATTCCATTTTGAAACAGGAAACCTTTCGATGGCACATTGTTTATTGTGAAAGGAAAATTTATGTTGGGGTTGGTGAGGCTGAGAGTATCAGAAACCTCTGTGGTTTCTGCATGTTGCTTTCAGACAAACTGTAATTTCACAGGAAAAAATCAAGTTGGGTGTCATTATCCAGAGAGGTCCGGTTAAAAAGACAACCTGAATACCTTACAGAGACCTACTTAGAAGCTAGCTGTCAGTATCCTACCTTACTAAGTACGATGATAAAATAAGTTTAAGATGTAGCTTGCTGCTTTGCAAAAATTAATCTTTTTTTGAAGCAACAGCACTGTCCTGCATTTATTGGTAAATATTTGTAACACCTTATGACTTTATTTTTTAAATATCTGGAGCTAATTGTAAGTTTAGTTGAGGCAAGACTCAAGATCTTTATAACTGAAGAAATGGAGGTTTAGAAAAAAATTCCTTTGTAGGGATGTGCCAAAGCATCCAGGAAATCATATGGTAATGTTCATCTTTGCTTTGGTTTGTTGCTGTCTACAAATATTGGCTACAGGAAGCCACTATCAGTAGTAATAGCAATATACGAATGTGACAAGATTTACTTTATTTTCATTTATTCTGTTGGAAAGGACACATAGATGAATGACTGGCCTGTCATTCTACAGGCGGTGGTGCTAAATGCAGAGCCAGAATGTTATTGCCCGATAAATATCCTTAGTTTTGGGCTTCAGTGTGACCTATTTAAGCTTCTGCCAATTTATTCAAATTGTTATATTAAAGTACTCCAGACAGAATGATGTCATAGTATCAGAATATTGCAACTTGCTGCTTGGGGTTTTCATTTTAGCATTGGATACTTAGGAATACAGAGGTACACAATTGGAAAAATAACATATATTTGGCAAGCACAATACTACATATCTTTGCTTTGCTAAAGAGTGTGCATTTGAAGGTCACTCTCACTGCCTAAATCATTTGTTGGGGTAAGAGAAGGAATTCAAGGTTTTTTTCTGTAACTTGTCTGTTACATAAGTGGACAGCAAATGGTTCAGATTCTATAAAGGGGCTGCTCTTTTTCCCCCATTCTCTATCTTTAAGTGGTCAGAATCTGTACATCTTTGAGTGTTAGAACATCAAATCAAAAAGATTTATATAAGGAAGTGGTGAGCTGTAGTTACTGTAAGAACATTATTTTTGAAACATTAAAAAATGATGTACACAAGTTTGGTCTATAACTGCTTGTTAACATAAGTTTTATTCACTTTTACTTTTTTCACCATGAGTTATGGTAAAATAGATGGTTATTTGATGGTTCAACATCTGCTATTGTTTATTTTATTAACCCTTTTGTGGGTTTAGGTTTAATCTCTCCAATTGAGAAACTTGACTTAACAAGGAAATCTATTATCCAAAGTCTCTACTTAGTGGGATGTGGGTGCGGGTGTTGGCAAATGTACATTGCTATGGCTTTCCCTGTTTATCTTCATTATTTGTCAAAGATGAAAATGGTTGTATTCATTTGTGAATGTACCCAGGGGCTTTGTGGAGAGAAATCACATAAGTTATTATGAAAGAATTCAGTGTGTTTATTTTTACTCTAAGATACAGGAAATAGAAAGGCATTGATAATTACTAATTGGCAGTATATTTTATTTAAGTGTGTAGTGCAGAAACATCCCCCTCTTTTGTTTATCTTTTCTTATTTGTTAGTGGTGAAGGAAGTGGCTCATAATATCAACATTGTCCTGATGATTACATCAGGAACTTTATTATTAGTTCTGAAGTTAATCACTTGACACGTTACCTTAAAAAAAAATAACTGCAATAGCATGAATTTAGTTTGTGAATAACAGAACATAGCAACTTTGAAGTTTAATTGGTAGTTATGTAAAAGGCAGAGTTAAGTGTACAGCTAGTATTTTTTTCTTATGAAGCCTCTTCAGAAGGGTAGACCTTGGAAGTATAAATATGAACACAAGCTTCAATTTCAGTGTGTTTCAGCTACCAATAAAGTAAAATAACTATTTTTACAGGGAATAATGAAGCAGTCTTGGGTGTAGGGGAAATATCTAGGAAGTATGTAGTTTTTCCATTTCTTGGCCTCTAGAATTTAAAATGGTCAACTGAAATTCCTTCCAACTAATCGTTCTGTTTTCAGAGGGCACGCTTTTTCTCCAAGGTCACTGAGAATAGGAGAGAGTAGTTGCTTAGTTGTGTTCTTTATAGGAGGTAGAGTGTTTTGTAACAGAACAACAGTAGTACAGAGTTAGGATAGTCCATGTTTTGAGGAAAAGAACAGTAGATACTAGCATATCCAAAAGCATCCCATTTAGACAGATTTTCTGGCCTTAGCTCTACGTGTCAATGTAATTTGATAGCTGACCTTAAAGCCCTCACATCAGTGGATGCCTATTTGATACAGTGATGAAAATATTACTCATGAATACATACCTAGGTTCAAGTGCAGCCCAGATGCAATGTGAAGTCTGTTCTGAAGCTACTCAAGAGAAAGATTTCTTAAACATTTAATAAATATTTTTTTGAGGGCCTACTGTGTTTCCACTAAGTGCCATTTACTAGAGATATGAAGCTAGACAAGACATAATCCTACCATTGACCGGTCAAGGAACTCAGAGAGCAGCATCAGAGTTAAACATATAAATGGCTAATTGTCATGTAGTGTGGAAAGGGCTGTACTACAAACCCAAAGTACAGTTGGAGCAGAGTAGAGAACGTCTTCCTTGTTTTTCTGGCCAGTGTTCAGATAACTTTCTGTTTGGATTCTGCTGGCCATTGCCTTTTAGGAACAGCATTATTGTGCTCTTGTTGGAAATGCTGAGGTGAGAGTAAGGAAGTGATTGCTAATCAGTATGGTTGGAATGATAATTTATTAATGTGAAGTTCCTGAGCATGGTTTTCACAAGAGTCCTAGCCAGGTGGTAGAAAATAGAAGAAACAATTTTCCATCTAATAGATACTAAATGTACTGGGCATACATGGATGCTCAGGAAATTAGAAAATAATTAATTGATGCTAAAGAGCAAAGCATGCTGAGTACCTGCCTCAAATTTTTGTCTTGCTGCCCTTGTCATTTATTTTAAATTACATTACTGAAAGAATTTAAAAAGCGTTTAGGAAGTGATGATGCCCACTAGGCTTTTCCTGCTTTTGCCCTCAGTAAATTTAGTACATTTGTCAAGCTTGAAATATAATTCATTCTCTTTTTAATTTAATTGTGATCATAATATATTTTAATGTTTGTCGATCAAGGATGCTTAGATTATGTACAGATATTTTAAAGAACAGAAGTAAACTTTCTTTTCTAAGCTGAGTTCCTCATACCTCTGAAATATAGTCCCTGTCAAGTAAAACTTAGGTTTTAGATGCCTATTATTTGTGTTTACTGATTTGGAGACTCTGACTTTTTAGAGCTTAAAACAGCTAATATCATTCATTTGAATTACACTTCTTTACGTATTTCCTTTTCCTCACTGAAGTTGTTCTACCTTAGCAGAATCATGGGTCCTAGTAGACTTGGTTAGGGGATAATAACAAATTGTCTGGGCAGTTTTGTTTAATACTGAGTTCAGTTTTGAATTTGTGTTGTGATAAATGAAGTGATCCCAAAGTTTGCTACGTAACTTCTAGGAAAAGCTATTAATAAAGTAAAAGATTTAAAGGAATCCTATTAAGACTTACCTTGGATTATTCTTGTGATATAAGGCATACATATAATACAGGCCTTAATCAGTTAGTAATCTTTTAACTATTACAAAATTTTTAGCATTCGGATTTTGAATCTACTTTCTTCCTTTCAAAAGGTGCTTTATGTGCTGTCTGTTGATTTCATCATTCATTTATCAAATCTCAGCAGTGGAAAGACAGACATTTCCAAATAGCTATGCCATAGAGTAAAATGTAATTTGTGCTTTAAGGTGGTATAAATAAAGTGCTGAGGTGTAGTATGTGGTGGAGGTGAAAGTTGCTTGCTAAGGCTGAAAAGTTGGTATAGAATGAAGCATGGAGTAGGTACTGTCCTGCTGATGGGTTGGATTCTAGTGAGAGGGAGGACATGTTAGGTTGAAGCAATGATAGATTGTTGAGTAACAGAAGGGAAGTTAGGGGAAGATGATACAGGTTTTGATTGCTTTGTCAAAG